GAATGTTAACATTAGCTTCAGCAGACAGTAAACTGTGTACAATGTCCTCATGTCCTTTTTCACAAGCTATCATTAGTGCTGTCTTGCCTTCTTCATTAGTATGATCAATATTAACAGTTTCTAGTTGTAGAAGAAACTCTACTGCTTCATTATTACCAGCTGTGACTGCCTCGAGGAGAACTAGTTCAAAGGTGAATTTCATATTCTCATTTTCTTGAAGGACAGGATGATCATTAATGTATAAACTAAATATACCAATGAGACGCATAAACTGTAACTTTCCTCCAGTATATTCTATTAGACTATCAGCTGTAATGTCAAGAATATATAACTTGATGACAATACATTTATTTCTTATTATAATATGTTTAATAATTGACTGCTTGTATTCTGGCTCTCTGTGTTTTTGAGGCAGTAGCTTTTCAATCAGTTCATATAATCCATCAATACTTATGTCATCCCAGCAAGTTTGAAGGTGTATGTTAATGCAAGGTAAATTATCCATGTTTCTATCAAAATGCTTATAGTGTTCCTGCAGTAACTTTTCGAGGTCAGAAACTGTGTTTGATTTGCACAGTCTCTTACTCATTAGTGTATGGCTGTGTAGTTCATCAACTAGTTTACAAGTTACTCCATCATCAGTGAATGTTGCATCTTGTAGGAACTCATTACTCATGTCCAGTAACAGTTTACAATCAATAAAGTCATAATATGGTTGTATCTTTCTAAAAATATCATCAAGACTGTTAACTACTGAACCTTCTTCCCACTTCATGTGTACTGTAAGCCACTCAGATACATCAGTAGCTAATTGACTATTGTGCTTATTCTTTTCTCGAAATATTAATTTGAAATTTTTAGCTAATTTTGAGAACCACCGACGTAAGACATCTAAAGATGTGTACACTTTTTCTTCAATTTCTTCATTTTCAAAAGGTTTAATGTTAATGTCATGATGAATACCACCTAAAATATCAAAAAAAATTATATTTTTTACTTTCATTAGGGACAAAACTGAATCATACACTATATGCATGCTATTGGTAAATACCTGCTGAGACATTTGAAAACTGTTGTGGTGGTGATGCTGTAATGAGATCATTACTGACTGGTAAAAAGCCTATTTATTGCAAATTATTATAATTCAACAATGATCATTTACTTACAAGTTAATGCTGTATTAGAAACTGGTGAAAGTGATCGTGTAGATGATATCATTGATAATGCTGCTGGTACTAATGATTCCATATCAAAAAGTTCTCTCCATTCACTATCTAATGATCTAGCAACAACATCAGTTGGTCCTCCTTGAGATATACACTCCAGAAACACTTGACAATGTGCCTTTAATTCTGATACATCTTTTAATAATGAAAGCTTTGCTTCAAATTCATCTATCATTTTATTGTAGTTCAGTAATTGAGAATCTCTTACTGTCTTTGTGATAATTTTTTTAGCATACAAATGTGACATTATGCTACTCAGGCTGCCTTTGGTTGCTTCTTCTAATGTAGCATAGTGTGAACGAAGGATCTCTTTTACCTTTTTACAAGCTAGAAAGAGAGTCATCAATTATTTTTTAAATAAAAATACTAACCTTCTTCAACAGTAGGTCCAGGATTGAGTTCAACATCTCCTGATAAGAGGAGGAGGAGACGAGACAATAAAAAGAATATGTTAATATCTCCAGGTAATACTACTGACTGGAGGGTATCAGTAACAATATCACCAGTAATACATTGTACTTGATAACAGTAACAATGACCTAATGATACATACAGTGTATAATGTACATATGAAGTATAGCTATTGATTTACCTGGTGGAGGAATTGAATTGTGCTTCAATAAAAGGAAGCAAAAATAAATGACAATAAAACCAATAATAAACAGAACTGCTGGCAGTGTACATCTCTTCTCTTCTT